CGAAGCAGACAGGCGGGCGGCGAGCGGACGGGCATGGCCAGTCTTTTGCCACTTAATCCATATAATCACGGGAGTTACTTCCTTGATTGTGGAGGCATACTAACTGCGTCAGTTACTGTCCCTTCCGCTTCCGCTTCCCGTCTCCGGAGATTCTCCGCTGCCTTCATCTCCTTCCCCGGTCGCAGCCATATATCCTGTCTCTCCCGTCAGTCCAGAAACTGTCTCCCGCAACAGTTTCCAAGAGAACCACAGATTAGCAGCCTTCTGGCTTCCCTGTCCCGTACCTCTGCGCGCACGGAGTAACGGGAGAGCAGGTGCCTCCGGAACCACCGTCCGCCTGAGAATCCTGCACGGGGTGAGCGGCAATTAGATTTTTGGGGAGCGATCCGCGACTGCTCGTCCATCTTCTTCCTACTGGAGATCGCTCTTGGATCCGTCTTCTCCCTGGAACGTCAAGGCATCTTCTTCCTGGTGATCCGTTCGTAGGACTGCACTGCGAACATCTTCCTGCATCGACTGTGGTCCGCGATTTCGAGCAACGCACTATGTCGACTAGTGCGAATGGAGCCTCCAATGCCCTCGGCATGGGACCCTCCACTGGGTACAGTCTAATCTCTGTGATTACTGTATTTTGTATTTTTACTGTATCAATCTGTATGTCATCTATGCATGCTGTAGCGTTCATAAGAAATATACACATGTATATATATGCTGTCACAAACCTGCTGATGTTATATTTCTGGATTAAACTGATAATGAAAATGTCTAAATTTCTAACATGATCCAGGCCACCAGATCAACTAGTTTACTATGCATCAACTAATAACTCGACATTGTACAAGTTGTTGGTGTTCATAGGATGATCTAGTCAAGGGTACTGTACATCGGTCGATAGTTTGGTGAAACTATTTGAGGATCAAATTGAACATGTGTTGTCCTATGGACGTAACAGGATGATCCTATGAAGATTTGGTGGCTTCAACAGATCACTCGATTACACCGAGCTGGTTAAGATGGAGTCCAAGTGCAAGTCTGTGATGTCCACAGGATGTTCCAATGTTGATCTGTGTGACACATGAAAAATCGTCTGGTGGCACTGCATTACAATTTATTGTTGGAGTTATCAGGTGTCAGTTCTCACTGTATGATATAGTGAGGGACAATATGGGCACTCGTCAGATCATATGGAAATGGATGCATTTGCTATTAATTAGCCAATGGACAATTGCTTTCTTTGGGATATATATTGTGTTCAACAACTCTACGTTCCTCTGACCAGTGCAACACATATACACATTTTGGTGGTCGAGAAACTATTGGAGGGCAATAACAAATGATCAAGTTGAAATTTAAGGATTTGCTAGTGTTAAGTGAGTAGCAATTATGCATAACTTGGCAAGGATCTTGGTCAAGTGAAGGTCTTGCTTGTTACTCTTGGTGTTTTTCTAGCACCTAGATGACCTAGAGTTGGTAATCTTTGGTGATCTTCCGTTAGACACGATTGTTAGAAGGCTCAAGTGCTTTTGTTCTTGGTTTGAAACCAGCTAACCTGTTGGTCGTCAATGATTATTCTTAGGATCTGTTTGGATGTAGATATTGAAGGTGCTGAAATTGAATTAGATTCAATACAAATCAGCCTTGGTATTGAAATTGGGCACAATACAAATTCTGTTGTTTCGATGTGCATTGAATTGAATGTTCAAATTTGGGAGGGGTGCCAATGTGAGGCAGAAGGGGTGCCAGATGTGTGGGAGAAGAAGTGGTGGAGGAGCATAGGGGCATAGGAGTGTGGTTGCCCTGGAGCATCGGAGCGGAGGAGTGTCGGGGCGAAGGAAGAGGGTCGGCATCCAACGGCGGAGGAGTGTGGGGGAGCATCTGGACGAAGGCTTGTCGTCGTCCATGAGCTTTAGGGTAGAGGGAGCACTACCCAGGAGCGTCAAGGAGGAGGAGCGTCGGGCGGAGGAAGGGGGTTGGTGGCCTACAACAAAGGAGGGTTGGGGCAGAGGAGTTTTAGGCGGAGGCGGTGGAGGCGCATCGGGATGCTTGTTAATTGCTAGACAATGCAGAGGAGATGGCTCTAGATTCGGGTCCTAGATTAAGGGTTAAAGACCATTAGTCACTAACACCATGTTTGGATGAGTATATGGGAGCCATTTTTTCGAACTGAGAATTTTCCATGTCCATGTTATTGTAGTCCGTAGAACATGTTTTTTTTTATAAAAAATATCACACGGTTACTTTCAAGTTTCTATGTTATACCACATGGCACTGGAAAAAGAATAGTTATTATACCACATTGCCTGAGTGTGGAAATGGAAACGTCATCTCGAGTATTTCGGAAAACAAGGAAAATGGGGCATAAGGTCCCGTTCAGTTGCCAAAAAATTTTTGCATAGTAACTGTCACATCGAATCTTGCGGCACATGCATGCAGTACTAAATGTAGACCGAAAAAAAACTAATTACACAGTTGATCGAGAAATCACGAGACGAAACTTTTAAACCTAATTAGTCCATAATTAGACACTAATTACCAAATAGAAACGAAATGCTACAGTGAGCCAAAATCCAAAATTTTTTGGATCTAAACGCACCCTAAAGTTTGGAGAGTGGTGTTCTTTGGGAATTCTGTTCCGCAGAATCCGAGTACACTAGCTCTCCTCCCCACTTCCCCAGGGCTTTCAACTTCCCCCAAACCCCGTCGCCTCGCCGCCGAGGCCGAGCGAGCAGAGCACCACGTCGGGGGGCCTTTCCCTGTCTCTCCGCCGGATACTACTACACCCGCCGCCGCAGCGCCGATCCTGTCCCAGTCAAGCGGAGCGGGGGATCGGTTTGGTTGCTTCCTTCCTTTCCTCCATCTCATGTTGGTGGTAAGCAGCCCCAGCTAGCTCGGATGGATTCTTCTTTTTCCCCTAGTTCTAAGCGGTGGTGCTGTTCCCCTATGAAAACCCAAACTCATCTTCAAAGCCGTTCGCCCAGTTGCTCCGTTCTGGAGTTGCGTGCTTCGTGCCGAGCTGGTAATCGTACGGCTCTTGCTGTTCTTGCTGCTGCTGTTGACTGTACAGGATGGACTAGTTGTGACCTTAGGATCTCTCGCTACCTAATTCAGGTGCGGGTGCAGCTTAAGTCGCATAGATTTTGGGGGTTCAGTTGAAAACCATGTACCCCATGCCAGTTCTGCCCGTGTGTGGCTTTTAGCACGTTTCAATTGAGCGGGTTCAACAATACCTTGTGATTGTGCTCGTTTCTTATACCTGCTGTTTTTTTTTCTTGGCGCCTGTGTTTTCTGATTTCTGATTAGAGTTACTTCGTTACATATTCAGTTAGACTTGGTTATCCTGCAGACAACCTGATATTTTTTCCTTGTCACTGGCATCCTAACGTGCTGTTGATAAATGAAAGGCAATTTATCTTCTCTAGCATAGGACAAATCAAGTTGATTGGCACTAGTTTTGGATTGTACTGGCTGCTTGTGCCATTCATTATATTTTATATCTATCTATATATCATGCATAATTTTTGCTGACAATTTGGAAAAAATATAATAATTAGTTCTAAAGTTGGATTAGTCCTGTTGAAATATTGATGTTTATCTATATCAGATATATTTGTTCCTATACTACTCATACTCACTTAGATGTGCGTGGGTGGACACAAAATGTGGTGGTTTCTCAAATTTTTAGTGGGGGCATTTGCAGCACCAATCTGCTTGTTACTTAATATATTTTTCCTTACCCTGGAAATGTGGTGAAAAGAGTACTAGGAAAAAAATTCAAAGGTGAAAACTTAGATGCTCTGTGCTTATACTGAACTCCTTGTGAACTTTCTGAGGCCATCTGTCTTAAAGATTCCACCCAATGCTTAGCAAATCCTAGGTGGATGGCATGCATACTTTAAAGTTGTGGCATCGAATCTTACTATCGTCATTGCGTGCATGTAGAAGTAGCTAGTGTGCTCATGTATGTCCACTGTACCACAGTGTGGCCAGGCTGGTTTTTTAGGTGTAAAATATTGAGTTGCATGCACTGACCAAACCCAAAAGCTTAAGGTGATGGGGAGAGGTGGGCAATTTACGTATACTCCAACACTCCCCCACACGTTGAGTCCCTTAGGCCTCAGACGTGGAATAGGAGCGAGCAACAATTATTTTATTTAATTGTGCTAACCAGGATTCAAACTTAAGATCTCTGGCTTTGATACCATATTGAGTTGCATGCACCGACTAGTCCAACCCAAAAGCTTAAGCTGATGAGGAGGGGTGGGCAATTCACTTATACTTCAACAGAAAAGAGTGGCATAACCCAAAATGTGGTGGCCTCTGTAGTATGATTTTGCTTACATATGTGCTGCTTGTTGGGAGAGCTCAGCACATGATGCTGTGTCTCCTGCTAGCGCCAGGAAATGGCCTAATGGTGTTGTTATCTCTCTAGGTAGTCTCTAATAAGTAATAACTGTATATGTACCCACCTGATTAAGATGGACTTCCTGCTTCCCAGTCAAGTTTCTGCTTCTTGATGTTACTAGAAAAATGTCAAGTACTAATTGAAGCAGTTCTTTTTTGTTGGTAAATGATAAATTTTTGAACAATAGCTGTTGAGTGCCATTAGAGTGAATTATCAAGAATAGTCTGGCAGCATTAAGTGCCCATAGTTGCAGTTTTCTAAGCCACACACAATCTTATGCTGGTGTAATGGTTGGTTATCTCATGCTGTATTTGCTATTTTGTTATATGATTTCCCTCTTTCTTCTGTGAATATATTTTGTTTCTTTATAGGACTGTGAGAGATGGAGTTTTAATTTCAAATAGCATCTAGAGGACTGCCACAAACTTTTAAGTTAAATATATAATGGGTGGCTGTTGTTGCTGTTCGTCGAGAACATCTGAAGCAGTTAGAGCACCAGTTGATATCTATGTATGTAAACTCTTGCTCTTTCTTTTCTACATCAGTGTTACTATCTTCCTTTTTGTGACATAATCCATACCAAAATAGCATAAAGATAATGTCAGTGAGTTTGTCTTACAACTGTCTTACTATGCTGTTAAAGCTGAAATAGGCAATCTGTTATTGTACTCTTCATAACTGAAATCTGCAAGATGTTTATCATATGTTTTTATTCAGGACCAATCAATTATTTTATGTGGCATGTGACCAGTAGATTTGTTTTTTAATTTCTTATGCAGCTCTGCTCTTGTAATTTTCTGGCATGTAAATATCTATATCCCCTGATGCAAAATATATGAATGCTGATGTTCTGTACTCTCTTCTGTTTGCAATTTCAATGCAGGAGGATAAACAATTTTGCCTTGTACTGTCCATTTTTAATTCTTGACAATCCTTTATGATTACCATTGAAAATTATTTACACAGTGTGCATTTGTGCTGTTTAGTTAATATCATTTGATAATTGCAAAATTTTCCAGAGTCATAATTCATACTTAAGTTGACCTTGATATAGCTTCATGTATTTATTAGCCTTTCAAACTATTAAATACCTTAATTGTTATTTAAGTTTTTCTTAGATTTTCTTGTTTTATTATTCAGCGTCAACAAAATCTTGAGGAGCATGAGCCGTTGTCTTCAGCTTTTGATGGATCATCTCCAGCCTCTGCAATTGTTGCAGTAGACACAAATCTGGATACTTCCACACCTGACACATATCGAGCACCACCTGCACCCTTGCCTTATGATGTTGTTTTGGCAGTCCCAAATAACCCTGGTAAATAATTGACTAGCAGTTACATGAGCGATGATTATTAACTTCTTGTTACTGGCTTAATGGTTGATCTTAGGTTTTGGAAACTCTGTGTAGGTTTGGAGAAGCTAGACACTAAGAGCAAAACTGATGACCAACAAGAGTCCATAAATGATCAGGAGTCCTTAAAGGTGGATGAGTCATGTAAGAAAGGTGTCACTGAAGATAAGGCTGATGAGGAGGATGTTTGTCCTATCTGCCTTGAAGGTTGTGTTTCTCTTGATCACTGCAAAATTTATTTGATTAGGTTGATAGGTTGTTTTTTTTCTCGAACACGCAGGAGAGTTGCGTATCTTATATTAAAGAGAGCAGAAGGAAATTGTCCCCTCATGACCCCTTAAAACAACCATTCTAACTCACTAGGAGATCAGAGGGGTTGTAACAGTGAGAAGAAAATCTCCCAAGCAAACTAGGATAACGACCCAATAAAGACTACAACTAGCCCTCATCACGACCTAGGCCCAGGAATTGGAGCTTTTTGGCTCCAACAAGACCCTAAGTCTCAACTCCCCCATGAAGAATTGATGTGCAATCTGTAGGTTGGGGGAATTCCATAAGGTCCAGGCCCCCATAATCACAGGGCTATTAAATCCCTTCCTTTGAGCTTTGTTAATGCGACAACATGCTTTTCTCCACCATTCAACAAAGTTTGGTTCAGATCGTCTGGAGTAACACACCCAAGACTAGGAGATGCTAGTACAGTGTGCCAAAACTGTTGAGAAGACGCAAGTAGTTCAGATGTGCTGGACATTCTCCTCATGATTCAGTGAAGCTTGGTTGATAGGCTATTAATTTTAGGGGCCATTTGGAGGAATTGAAATCTACTTAATAAATTAAGTTATTTGGCTTGGAATTTGATATTCCACCACTTTCCAAAATTCACATATAAGCCTATCTCAAATTTATAGGGTGGGAGATGGAAATTGATTTTATAGATCATCATTCTATGTTTCTACTTTCCAACTTATAACACACTCTTCAGCTTGCTCCCCTACGGTAGAAATGCAAAACACAAGTATATCTCTCATATAACCAACAATAATAGACAAATATAATCCATATACAACCATATTAGCTTTAATTAATATGTGTCTAAATTATGATTATCAAATTGAATTCAATTCCAAGGATCCAAATAGGGCCTTATATTAATCCATCTTTATTTGATTGTGTATGAAACTGAATGTGCATGTTGTTGCTACTCTTGTTCAGGTCTGCTTTTTTCTTGCTATCGGCCCATGTTAGATTTCTTGGTATCAATAGCTAGTTGTTCGCAAATTTCATGTTGTAATTGTGTCGATGCCAGTAGATGTCTTTACAGTGTGTCCTTCATTCGTGTTATGGATTGCACCGAGATAGCCTTAAGCAATTCACTAGTCTGCAGACACACTGTTGGAGCCAATCTGATATAGTGTACATAAAGGGATATTGAAATCCCATAGAAGCTCCCCCCTCATGTAAATTGCTTGTTGCATTTTAATGTTTCAAAATTATTATGTTTTTTGGGTGTGTTGCTGACTTTAGTTGCTGATGTACATATGTACTCTGATTATCCTCAGTGGCTGCATTGAATGGTACCATCTAAGTTATATCTTATATTGTTGTGTTGAACCAGAACACTCATGTAATATTGTTATTTGTTCTTCACCAGAATACGATGAAGAAAATCCCCGCTCTGTAACTAAATGCGATCATCATTTCCATCTTTGCTGCATTCTTGAATGGATGGAGCGAAAAGATACTTGCCCAGTTTGTGACCAGGTTAGTACTGAAATCAGTATCGGCTCTAATATATTGTATTAATTAATAAACATGGATGTTTTTTTCCCTTTGTTGTCATTTACTCTATATACATGGGGATTCATTCTTTCTTTTTAAAAGGTAAACCCGTTCATCAAGCTTAATAACAAACTTAGTAAAAAAGGGGGCAGACCCAGTGCCGGAGGCTCCCACATGAGTGGGGTCTGGGGAAGGGAAACTTAGTAAACTCATGTAAAATGAGAACACACGGACTTCATCTATGTGGCTCTGTTCTGGGAGGTGTTTAATTACTACTCTCTCCGTTCCAAATTATAAGACGTTTTGGCTTTTCTAGATACATTGCTTTTAGTATCTAGACATAGTGTATATCTAAGTGCATAGTAAAAGCCACGTATCTAGATAAGCCAAAATGTCTTATCATTTGGAACGGAGGGAGTACATGTATGTTATTTTTTCAGTTCAATTCACTAGGTTAGATACTTTTGCTTTTGTGCAAATTATTGCTTGAAGGCATGGTTTTGTTTTGTTTTGTTTTGTTTTTGTTTTTTTTTTGTTTTTTTTGCTGTAAGCAGCCTGTATTATTGCAGATAACTTTGGTGGATGAGATGTTCGAATAGGCTTGGTAACCCTGGTGGATCATCTGTTGAAGCTGTTTGTTGCTGAGGAAGTGCAGGCAGCAACTACTTTACTCTTGATATTGGTCCATTCTGGGTGGCTCTCATGGTAATGAATTGAGGGGGCAAAAATAGGAAGGATGAATGTCATGAAATACATTTACGCCACGTCCTTTGTTGTGTGTTCTGTGTTATGCTTTCGCTGTTCATAGCAACAGGTGGATTAGGAAACTGCTTGGTTGAATATATATATGTAGGCTCGCAGGTTCATTCAGTTCAGAGTCCAAAACTCTAGCCTTTTGCTTTTCTGAATTCAGAGTTTCAGACATCTGCTGGTTCTTCCATGGTCTGGTCAGCTGTGTATATATCATACATTAGGTGGGTGACAGGTAAAAATGGTCTAGATGGAGATGGGGATTGCATTGTACAATCCATGCTATTCAAGTTTCCTGTATATAATCTTCCTGTTTTCTTCGTTTTGTCTAGTCAGACAAGTTTCGGGGATATAATTTTCTGTTCTGCTGAATTTTTGCAGATCCTTACTGTTCTGATAAAACTTACTGACCATCCCAAATCCATGCCAGACAAAACATGTTTCAGGGATATGATACATCTGTCAGCTCTTGTTAAAACAGCTTTGGGGCCTGCTAAAAATGTTCGCAAAATTCACGTGACCTTGAATATCCCGGTTCTGAAAACTTACCGTTCTCTGCGTCAATCCTCCAGGATTGCTATGCAAGAGTTGCATACAATTTCTGTTAGTTACTGTTATAAAGTACTCACTCAGATAAGATGGCATGTCAATTCAATTTACCAGTCAGACTTCTCATGTGCATGTGCTAATCGGTAAGTCTTCTAACATTGGATGGCATTCTCGGAAAGAAGAGATCTTTAGTTTAGGAACTTACTTTCGGATGTCAGTCACATTTTCTAACAGTAGGAATATGACACGTAGTCTACTCAGTTTCTTAGCTGCGAGGAATTGGCTGAAATCGGTTTGACTTTCAGTCGATTGTTTTGGGCTTGTGTTGTCCATGTTCTACATTACCAGGCTACCTTTCTTATGAAGGTATGTCTCCAGCAAGACATCGGCTAATAATATTATTGTATTCATGATTCAACTTTAATGGTTGGTTCCATAACAAATATAAAGAACAAAACAATTGAGGCAAACAATATCAGTATATCAAAAATATGACTACGTGTAAAAAGACGCACAATATAACAACATCATACAATGATATAATGGAGTTAAATAGTACTCATCCGTTTTAAACTATGAGTCGTTTTAGGTGGTAGTGTTAAGAAAACCGTCTTCATTTTGCAAAGAGATGATTTTTTTTAACTCGCCACCTCTGATTTCTAGGGACGGTTTTCTTTACACAACCGTCCCTAGAAATTGATTTATAAATATGATTTTCTCAATACAATAATCCCTAGAAAAATAATTTTTAGGTGTGGATTTCTTAACAAAACTGTTATGAAACGGCACATGCGTCTCTTCACAGTAATGATCTCATTCGTCCGTACGGATAGGATTAGCAGTTAACCACGTCAATACAACCTTAATGGAATTCGGAACGGGACTTTAGCATTTCCCTCCAGCAGCACTTTGTTTGGGGATGGTTGATTGCTTTTTGATTCTCTAAAGAAAAATCCACCATCAAGCTTCTCTTTCTTATTCTTATTTATATAACTATCACTTTACCAGGCCGGCCGTCACGTCTCAGGGTCGTATGCCTAGGGACATGTCCTTTGGACGTGAGATTTGGTGAACGGTTATGTCCGTACGGACACACCCTTCACATGTATATATTTCCAAGAGATCAATAAAACAGAGCACTTTGCCCACAAGAACAAGAGAGAAGGAGAACGACAGAGGCAACGCATGCCTTTGTACCAACACCGGTAAACACTACGGCGCTAATCAACTTACCTTCGCATATCATTCGTGGTTTGTTCTTTGCTCTTCACCGCATCAGTGGAGTTCGCTGTGGCCCGATCCGCCACCACGACCACCATGGATAGCGCCGCAACGTTTTCGAGTGCCTTGGGCCTCGTGTTCGCCACAACGTTGCCAATGGTTATGGCCATGGTCCTTCGGCCGCGTCTTTGACTCTACGGTTCGTGGTCTCCGTGCAAATCCAGTTCGTGTCTGCCGTGCTTCTCCTCCACATGGTCTGTGTCTGCAGAGCCAACAATCCGATCCTCGCCTTGGCGTGGACGGTGCCGGCCCAAGCAACGCCGCATCGCATGCTGTCAAAGCCCCGGCACCACCTGTCATCAAAGCCTCGGCGCCGCCCGCAGTCGAAGCCCCGGCGCAACCCACTGTTGATGCCCCGGTGCCACCCGTTGGAGAAGTGGTGGTCGTGCCTGCCACTGTACCCGTCGGAGTCCCGATGGAGCAGATGTCGCCGACGCTAACTCGCTACTGGTGCCATTTCTGCAAGGAGTGGATGCTGATCCCACACACCCTCGAGTACAACTACACGCTGCCATCGCCCACACCGATCGCTCCGATTCAAGTGGTGGCTGGCAGTGGTGTCCCCGACGGCGACCTCGATCCGTGGTTCCACCGATGCTTCAGGAAGTGAAGGCCGAAGACGAGATGGACATGGTGGCTGCCCTTGGCGTCGGCAACCTCTTCACACTACTACACTCAGACCTTTCACAGCCACGTCGTAACCCCATCGCAGCCGCATTTCGGTCTCTGCAGTAAGCTATCTGCATTGATGGTCGTAGCCCTCACTGTCGGCATCTGAGATCTACTACGATGTACATTACACCGCCATATTAGTTTATGATCCGTCCGTGATAAGGTCCTTACTTCCATCGCATTGGAGCATGACCCGTCTGTATGGGTATACACTAACACCGCCGCATTGGCAAATGATCTGCCTGTGGTGGAGGCTATCATCACCGTCGTGTGGGCACATCAACTGCCTGTATAGTGGTCATGACACCATCGTCTTGTACTTCGACCCGACTGTCTACGGTGCAGGTTCGCTGTCGCTTCGACGGCTGAGACGTCTGTAGAGGTAAACATCACCATCGCTTCAGCGTATGAACCATTAGTACAAAGGTTATGTTCACCGTCGTCTTGCACCACGATACACCTTTGATGATCCTTTAGTCGGTGTCGGGTTACTAAACGATTCGGCGGTGATACACTTGTATACCTGCCGCATAATACGTATAGCGACAGTGTTGGACGTTTGCACCACCAACGGCGGTGGTGATACCAAAACAATAAACGGCCCTTAATAGCTTACTGAACACAAAGCATACAGATATAATAATTGCATTCATAAATCATGTTCTTACAATAACAATGGACGCTGACCATAATATCTTTCTCAACTGATGTCTTAACACAAGCGGTACATAGATTGCAAACTAAAGGTACTGATCTCTACAGACTTACATAAACCATAGCTATGCTCCTCCCATGTGGCACTCCTGCTTGCTAGGTAAAAATGAATACAATTAGTGCATCCTTCGGATTGGTAGGCAATGCATCATGAAACCCCTCTTCTTCCTCCCTTAGCCAATGCAGGAAAATTGTTCAAAAGCACTCAGACTCAACCTGCACAAAGTAGCAGAATTAATGATATTGAACACACCATTCCTTTAGTTACCAAGCCTAAATTGGTCTATATATAGAATCAAAACAACTACCTACCTGAACAAACAAAATATAGCAAATGCACCTTTACTGCTCTGCTAATGACTGCATGAACAAGGGAACATAAGTAAGATAGTGAGGTATGTTGTTACATAGACTCTAGGTAGGTCTAGGACATCGGATGACCCGTGTAGGGAGGACATGAACTTTTCTGTGGTTGATGTCATATGCAAGCAGTGTTCTATCCTCCCCAACAAGGAAAATCAAATTCCACTTAAGGTGAACTGCAATCACTCTGAACTCCGCATCACAAACCTCGTAACCAAATTCAATATTGTTCTGTCCAAATATCTCTAGCGTGGTCACCGTATGCTTCAATGCCCATCTATTATTACCATAATCTTCAAGGATCCAGATTGAAAGCTGAGTCATAGTGTAAATATCAGCAGTACATAAACACAACTGACCCTCGGCTTCATGGATGGGGATTGCATCACCACGTGGCTTCTGTATTTTTGTCCATGTCTTTTCATCCATATCAATAGCAACGGTCTGGGAGAACTCGAGCCAGTGCATAAAACCATTAAGAAACACACTTCTCGCATATGTGGATACTATAATATCGTCGCCCCATTCAGTGAGTAGATGCTCACACCTACGGACTCACACTCCCTCATCTTCCCATATTCAAACACATGGAAGTGCGAGGAGACTGTCGGATCAAACCCCAAGCGAGACTCGCCACAATAATAGAGGTTATTTAGCAGTAGCAACCATTTGTTAGTCACCGGATTACAGACAACATAGCGACACCCAAAACACCAGCAGAGGATGAGGCCGCTGCAGCAATTTGAGATGATGACATCATGAATGGGGAAGGTTAAGAAGGACAAGGAGGGGTGTTCACCGGTGACGCTGGTGAAGTGGCATTTGCCTTTCCAGGTGCGATAGAAGAATCTGACAACAATCTGGGGCACCTCCTTTTGGTACTCAGCGTCCGAGATGAGGTGGTTCCAGGAGTGGTAGACACACTTGCAGCTACATAAGGAGCGGGCGGTGAGGCGGCGGAGGATGAGGACCAAGACATGGTCTGTGAGGATGCCCACTCCCTTTATCTTATTGGAGACCTCCTCCATCTTGACAAGGATCTGCTGGAGTGGCAGACACACATTAATCAGATGGAAGCTTGCTTCCTACTTACATGAGTGAAGAGGGGAATAAAAATCCAAGAAACATGGATAAGAGAAGTGCGAAAGCATTACCCTCGCGTTTGGATCTTGCAGTAGTGAGCTCGAGCGGCCACGGCGGTGAGTACCACCTTGGTCACCGATTGATCTGTGCGGGCCAGTGAGGCGTACCGGCACCACAGCGCGGAGCACTAGATTGTCAGCGGTGGTGAGTGGCGGTGATGGGGAATAGTAGCACTGAGGAGGAGGCAGACAGGGTGGGGAAGTCGTCTTTGTAAGCTAAAGTAGGAGGCGCGGGAATGCAAATTCGAGAGAAAATTTTGTAAATACGCACGGGAGACTTGGGTGATCTTGGAAATTAACGATAGCGGTGCCGTCCTGACCGTCTGGAAGCGGCGGTGGTGGTTGCGTGTTACGAATATCACCTAACGACGGATGTGACATACGATCGTGAAATCTAAGGTGCTTGGGGCTACGTACTATCACACTACCGGTCATAGAAGACCGCTTCCCCATCACACAAAATAAACATCGCAGCAAAGATAAGGAAGATCCCAAAAAATACATAAGTTAAGAACATTTCATATTTCATGTAAATAAAACATACGTATTCCACACTAAAAATTCAGTACATAAAATAAAAATCCTACTACAAGACTAGCTTCAGTGGGATGCGGATGACCCTACATCAGGCCTTCTGCCAGGGTTGTAGTAGGGGCCCTTTCCCATGCGGCGCTCGGTCCGTTGTGTTAATTAAAATATAGTTAGTTTCAATTAGTGACAGGAACTACGTAAGTAACTTAAAAAATTGAAACAGGGTTGATCACAAAAAACATCATCACACAGAGTTATTATTTCTTCAGTACCTTCTCCTTGCGCGCTTCCTTGTTAGCCATATTGGCCGCGTGGCGTTTATACCTGTGAGCCTTCACTGCCTCATTGCCGCCTCAGTCCCTATCGACGAAATATGGTCGGTAGTCTACCTAGGGGTATGCCCAAGGTAGTAGATTATTGGCAGACAGGTGCGCAAGCTACCAA